TGGATGCACTTGGCCGAAAACCGAAACTGCTTTGTAATGATTATTTATTATTTTACAGAATTTACATTAATACTGGTAACACTTTACAATAAGGTTCATTAGTTAACTACTTTAGTTAATGAACTAAGAATGCAGCATTTACTAATCTTAGTTAATGTTAATTTCAACATTTACTAATGTATTATTAAAATCAACAGTTGTGCTTGTTAACAGTTAATGCACTCTGAATTAACATAAACTAACAGTGAATAACTATTCTCATTAACTAACATTAAGAAAGATGAATAAATACTGTAATGTATTGTTCATTGTTCGTTCATGATAGTAATACATTAACATTAAATAATGGAACCTTATTGAAAAGTGTTACCTTAATATTAAATATCAATATATTATTTTTATTCACTTCTATGTAACAGAATCAGATATAAATTGTTGTTGTTGTTTTTTTTAATAATTATCCAAATGGTATAATAAAAAATCGATACTTGGCGTCCGTGTATCAATACAGTATTGCCGCGGAAAATATCGCGATACTATGCTATATCGATTTTTTTTCCCCCACCCCTACTATCTATCACATCTTTCCGCTGATGTGAGTAACCCAAGTGTTCGCGCCGGCGCCTCCCGCGTGCACACAACATAATCAGTTCTAGCATTGCAAACTTTAAATCGCAGCCTCTTCATCATCAAAGTAAATGAGACAACTAAACATACAAAAGGTATTGGTGACTCAATTTAGCTTGTCTTTTGTACAATATGTAGGTTTTGTAACTTTACGAACTAAGGGTGTTCGGAGTCGATAAAATTAATTAATTGGAGATGCTTTTGATTATTAAAATTTAATGGAACCATTCAAATGGAATCCAGAAAATAATGGAAAACAGAATTTGGTAAAGATAAAACTGTAAAACTCAATTAATTAGACAGGCTTTTTGATTAATAAAATGTAATTTAACCATTAAAACAGATCATATTTTCATAATGAAGTGTAATTTAAGCACATTGCAACATCTAGACTAGTCCACGTTCAGCTAAGTAGCACATATTCAAATATCAAATAAAACAAACCAATCAAAACATTTCATTCATGGGGATGAACACAGAATACACAGTCGTGTATTTTATTCCAGCCTTTAGTCGCTTTTTTCCTGGACAGATACGACAGGTTTCTGATGGCTCCTTCTTTGAATGGACGACATGCCTCTTTCATCTTTGGGCATAGTTACATCTAACCATTTTATAAGACGGGAAGTCGTGGCCTAATGGTTAGAGAGTCGGACTTGTACCCAAAAGGTTGCGGGTTCGAGTCTCGTACCGGCAGGGATTGTAGGTGGGGGGAGTGAATGTACAGCGCTCTCTTTCACCTTCAATCCCACGACTGAGGTGCCCTTGAGCTGAACCCCCAACTGCTCCCTGGGCGCCGCAGCAAAAAATGGCTGCCCACTGCTCCGGGTGTGTGTTCACTCCTGTGTGTGTGCACTTTGGATGGGATAAATGCAGAGTTTGGTTAGGTTAAATGCAGATAAATGCAGATATTCCGAGTATGGGTCACCATGCTTGACCACATGTCACTCACTCACTTTTCACTTAGACTTTCATTGTGGAAGAGTGACACTAAGCTTAATTGGAGAGGCAACAATTTTTTATAAATTATTATTATTTTTTTTTAGATTTGATTAGATTTTGCAAAATAAATAATCTAGGTCATGTATTAAGTTCATGCATATTTTATTATAAACAACTATTATTAACAATATGTACTTTTTCTTATTGATGTCACACTGAAGCTGTGTGATTTTCATAGTAGTGCACCCTTTAAGCTCACCTTTAAAATAATATGAAATCTTTAAAAATTACAGCAGTATAAAACTACAGACCAGCAATAAATTGTAAATTTATAATATTATGGATGTAAAAGTACAAACCAGTAATGCCTGTGAAGTAATATATTAGCGTAGCACACAATCTTATACAGCCAGTCAGCTAACTGTGTTCTGTAGCATCTGCGCAATGTTGCTAAAACTATCTTTTGGATCTAACTGTAATTATTTCCCACATCCAAGTTCCAGGTTATAATATGCAAAAGTCTCAACATTAATCTCTTAATTTTACAGTAAGTAGTGAAATTTACCCAAAATAAAGGCTTAAACATCTAAAAAAAAAAAAGCTAGTTTAAAGGGTGAAAACACCCTTTCACCTCTTTTGGTGAAAGTTTTCAGACAGCTTTCAGAATGGCTGCCAGACAGTGTGAACACATGGAGACTCATATCTCAGTGTACAATGATCTGATTGACTTAAAATTACAGGAGGTACAAAGTAACAAACACGTCAATTGGTTAAGACATCAAGTATGATAATACATTATTTTTTCTTTTTATAATCTGAGCTCAAAAATGTGTGTGAGTGCTTAATGGGTACGTGAGCTTAATAGGCACTCTTACCCTACTTAAAATACATGTATAAGAGCAATGAGGCAATAATAATTAGTTCAAATAAAGTATCAAAAGCAAGAAATCATATGGTTTTATTGAACAAAATTGTTAAAATACATAATGTATTATAAACAATAGAGCTAATGTACATTACGCATTACAACAAAGGCCTGCAGGGGGCGCCAATGGCATGACGATTGTTTTTACACATTACTGTGCCATCTAATCCTTGTTTAAAGGGGTCATATGATGCTATTTAAATTTTTCCTTTCTCTTTGGAGTGTTACAAGCTGTTCGTGAGTAGATAAGATCCCTAAAGTTGCAATGACTAAAGTCTCAAATCCAAAAATATATTCTTTATAAAAGTTAAGACTGGTCCACGCCCTCCTAAAACGCCTCGTTTAAACAAGCCCCCATATGTCTACGTCACGATGTGGGAAGATTTGCATAACGCCGCCCTAATGTTCACGCAAAGAAAGAAGGTGTAACTTTTATTCTCGCTGTAGTATTGTTGTTGCCGCTGCCACCATGTCGTGGAGATGCTGTGTTTTGTTGTGAAAGTGAAACTACTTTGTTTGGCCTTCCAAAAGAGGACACGACTAGAAATCAGCGGTTAAGTTGTATTTACAACACTGTTCCAGAACAGTTAAACCCAAATATTCAGATGTGTGCAGCACATTTTATGGAGGACTGTTTCCTGATCCTGGGAGAGTAGACTACAATGCCGGCTGTTCTGACTCACAGACTGTAAGCACGTTTTCATATTTAAAGGATTTGCCTCTAATTCAAACGCGAGTTTTGGGCAGTGTAGAGTAGTGCTTGTTGTTTGTCATTTCTCCGATCACAAATGTAGACATGGTTTTATGTTTACGTGGCACGATGCAACACAACGTGTAAAAAGACAGTATAAGTCAGGGGTTTTCAACCTGTGGGGCTGCACCTGTCAAAAGGGGCGTGAGCATCAGTTAATTCAGAAACATTCCCTTGAAGATTTATAAATATGAGTTAGCAAATCTTTAGCTATCCACTAGGGGGCAAACTGACTCCCACTGCTAGTCGACAGTTAGAGCAGAGTTGGCTCGAGGATCAGTCATGCTTATTGACAGTGTAAGATGATTTACGGTTAGCCATGTCGGAAATCCAACCACGGATTGGCATGTTGTTATCTCAGAAACGGGCTCAGCCATCACATTGAATCAGGTAAACTGGTTATATATTTATGTTTCAGTATAATTACGCACGCTATACCAGGGGCGATTCTAAACCCTTTTTATGTGGGTTTCAGCCCCCCTATCTGTCACCTTAGCCCCCCAAAACTATCTTAATGATCAGGCCAGTGCTGCTTCCTCAAATTGTTTCATTCTCATGTGTTTTAAGTCTTGTCAGTTTAAACATTAAAGTAATTTTAAGCCATTTAAGCCCAAGATATCTTGGGGGGGCGCGAGTGAAATTAGACAAACTTGGGGGGGGGGGCGCATGTCCTAAAAGGTTGAAAACCCCTGGTATAAATCATTATAATCCGTAATTATGTCCCACTTGATGCAACAAATGCCTCGTTTATAATGGGTTTTAATGTTTTTGTCTCGTCGCTCCGGCCGGACAGGGCATCACAGTATGGTAAGGGGCGTAACATTTCCGTCACAAGCTTGAGGTAATCGGCCAATCACAACGCACTGGATAGCTGGCCAATCACAGCACACCTCGCTTTTCAGAACGATGAGCTTTGTAAAAATATATACGCGTTTCAGAAAGGTGTGACATAGAGGAGAAACAATAATGTACAGTATGTGGAAAATAATGTGTTTTTTGAACCTTAAACCGCATAAATACATTTCATTACACCAAATAAACCAAATAATGTTATTTTTAGCAACATCATATGACCTCTTTAATATTGATCAAGCACCATTTCATTCAAATGTCCAATTAATCTTTAATATGGCCATTTCTTTAGGACAGAAATGCTATAGCCACTGTAATTAAAAGAATATGTGGACATCAAAATGTGTAAACTCAGAGTGAGGGTTTGAGCTTTTATTATTGAAACCGTGATGTATTCTCCTGTGTTTGCATAGATTTATAAATGATTTACCTTACAAATCTGATGAAATGGTGCACGTTGCATTCCCAGATGAACGTTATAATAAACCCAAACTCACAACAACATGCAGAGATGGAGTTTGAGACGCTCCACACATGTAAATGATAACACTTCCTGTGGAACTACTGTGAACGGAGCCGCTGTGTGAGGCATGTACTTAACCTGCACGCATGTAAATAAAGCGAGTAAATATCTTGATATGCAAGTGCTATAACAAGTCTCAGTTAGCTTAACGTAGTACACGTAGCAAGGTTTTTTTTAATTATATAATAAAAAGAAAATAGATAGAATAGAAAAAGAATAGAGCAATAGTATTAGAGGCCTTTTTTGCTTTTGTTAATTGTATAATAAATAAAAAGAAAACAAATAGAATACAAAATATTAGACAAGCTAGTGTTTTTTTAAAGAAAACAAGCAACTGAGTAAATGCATACGAATGTAAACAATGATTTGTTTATTCTTGTTTATTAAGTGAGTTTTTAATAATTTAATGTTATGATTGAACACAAGTAGCCTAGGTTAACCCTGGAAAACCAAATTGCATTAAACACAGTGGTGTAATGTAACAAAGTAATAATACTTCGTTACAGTACTTAAGTATTTTTTGGGAGTATCTGTAGCCTACTTTACTTGAGTTTTTAGAAGAGCACGGACTGCAGGAAAGCAGGTTTGACGAATCAGTGGTCTGGCGTGTGCAAGTTAGACTCTTTGTTCATGTGCAAACAAGTGCGTGCACAACTGCGGATGATTCATTTTCCACTCAAGTCGAGTCTGGGGTGTGCGATACACAGCATTGTCTGCGATAATATGGTAAGTGTTGTTGTAATGATGTGCGATCTTACATTATCAAGTAGGCTATATCACCAGATCATAAAGATCTCAGATGACAATGTAGATGCCTGACAAACGTTGTTATTGTGATCATAAAATGTATGGATGTGATTTTACACAATACATGGTGCTTTTCCCTCACCATTGTAAAGCGCTGCTTTTGCAAGGTTCCCGTGAAAACGTTTAAGCTTTTTTTTTTCTTTCAGATTTTCCTTTTTCGCCCTTAAGAAGATATCACAGGTTCATCAAGTTCGTCGAAATTATCCATCCTCGATCACTTTTAGTCAGCTTTGACGAAACTCCTCTCAGCTAGCACATATTTTCAAAGTGAAAGTAGCCTTGTCACCTGACCTGAATACAGTGCGCTGATTTGCTAAAATGGACTTATCGGCTTCTGTTCAAAAACAACAAGGGTGCTTGTTGGCTTCTGCAGTAAAACGTGAACTCGCGATGCCTTGAAAGTGGACAAAACCGACTTTTTTGACAAAACGTGTTTAGGGTTCAGATCGCGCTATATGTGGAGAATAATGCACAGCAATCAGCTCTTTTTTTTTTTTTTTAAAGTGCGGTTTATCGGTTTTTGCAAATGAACTCTTCATATGATCTTACCTTGTAGAAAATCCAAGAGGAAAGTTTCCTGAAACCTACCAAACAAAAGAGTGACAACAAGATTAAGAACATACAATTTTCATTGCTGAAAATATTTATAAAGTTATAAATGCACATTGTGTTCAACCAAACGTTCCGAGAGTGTTCACTGTTGTTGTGGCATCTTTCTCAGCAGCGTATCTATTCTTCTGAGACACTGGTCCATAGATTGGCATTATAATATCCACAAATTATTTGCCATAGAGCAAGTGCTACACAAACACTTTTTTGTCACACTGTGGCAAAGCTTTGAAAAATCTCCAAGCCATCTTCATGTCTCTCAGAGACGGATTGTAGTTCAATCGTTAGCTTTTGCTCTCTTCATTCTTGTCTTCAGTCAGATACACAGAAATTTTTTACAGAGCCCTAACAAGCAGAGCAATTTATGTCCTATGGAATGAGCTCTTTGGGGTTGAACTCAAAGGCTGTGCCCTTATTTCACCGACACTACTCATCTCTGGGAGGCAAAGGGAGCCTGAGGTGAAGGTAAGGCCCTGAAGATCGAAGCCATAAAGCTGAGGAACTGCCTGGCTTTTGTGCAAAAGGATGATCTATACTGGTTGGTGGAGCATAAAACAATAGCTAAGGTTACTGTTTGCCAACCTGATGTAGGCGTAGACAACAATCCAGTATCAGCGAGACTCCATTGATCATAAACTGAGACATGCAAAGAGGTGGTGAACTAACAAGTTGGACACCACAAAAATTCTTCTAAAGATTCTTTGTTTCTCCAGGTAAAAAAAAAATCTAGATTTTTCAAACTACCTGAAAGAGGAGGAAAAGGCAGCTGTCCAAGGCCATGTTTTATGGGTTTATTTATCTTGCCACATGTTCAACCATGTCATGCTTCCAAGATAAAAATAAAATAGTTAAAAACAGGTCTGACCAGGATTTTAATATTGAACTGGTTTACTTGTCTAAACTCTTTCAGACAATTATAAATGCATCTATAATGTAATTCCCAGTAAAATGCCTCAAGAGTATTTCTTTTCTGGGGATCAGGTTGAGAATCTTTATGCTATTCAGTTGTACCGGAAGACAGCTCTGGATTGATATTTATAAAGAACAGTAAATATAGCATCAAAGCCAGAAAGAAAAGCTCCTGTAGTGCAAGCATGAATTTTCAAATCAATTTCTTGACTGCTGGCCCATATTCAGTCTGAAAGCGGTTTGTTATTATGCACTTTCCTTGAGACCTGGGTGCTTAGGAAAAGAAACCTTGCCTTTGACTGTTGAAAGTGTATCAGAGCAATTATACTGACGTGATTCATGGTCGGACCTTAATGTTCTTGGCTCTCAAACTCCCGCAAGACGATGGTCAGCGAGGCTAATGTAGGCAATACATAGCCTCAAATGGGTTTTACTTGTCCCAGACAGATTTAAGATGTGATTTTGATATCAGCTGAGACATGTGCAAATGCTATAGAGTTTAAGACAAAAGCAAAAAAAGGCCTCTAACACTAGCTTGTTCTATTCTTTTTCTATTCTATCCGTTTTCTTTTTATTTAGTATATGATTTAAAAAAAAAATTTGCTACGTGTAAGCTAACTGAGACTTGTTTTAGCACTTGCGTATCATTGCTCTTTTGCTGATTTTGATTGCTTTCATTGTCCTCATTTGTAAGTCGCTTTGGATAAAAGTGTCTGCTAAATGTTAATGTCATGTCAATGTATTTTAGCTGGAAGCAGCAATTTGAAGTTAAAAACACATCTTGATGGATTTGTTTATTACAAACTAAACATCTTTTTACTTCATACAATGTTATTTAATGTATAGAGCAGGGGTGCCCAAACTCGGTCCTGGAGGGCCAATGTCCAGCAGAGTTTAGCTCCAACTTGCCTCAACACACCTGCCAGGAAGTTTCTAGTATACCTAGAAAGAGCTTGATTAGCTGGTTCGGGTGTGTCTAATTGGGGTTGGAACTAAATTCTGCAGGACACCGGCCCTCCAGGACCGAGTTTGGGCACCCCTGGTATAGAGACATGTGTATTACTTTTGGATTATTGTAATGTTTCTATCAGCTGTTTGGACTTTCATTCTGATGGCACCCATTCCCTGCAGAGGATCGATTATGGAGCAAGTGATGTAAAGCTAAATCTCTTGATATCTATGGTAACGGTAACAAAGTTATCTACGTGTTGATGTCCTGATCATGAGTAAAGTTACATTTTTGAGGTGAACTATTCCTTTAAAATGGTACATGTATACAGCTTAGGCTAGACATAATCAAATATACCAGAATCAAAACAAAGTTTGTTTCATCAAGATGATCCATTGCAATTGAGCTATGTAGAACCACTCTAATGAGAATGAAACCAAAATGTAGGAAAGCTCTTATATGTATTTCAGTACCACTGTTATATATAGATTAATCTTTCTTTCTTTTCTGCTTTTTTATATACATCGTATTTTATGTAATATAGACAACATCAAAAAAATATGTTTCACTAAAGCACTTCTCTAATGCTCCCTAATTTAGTTCTTTGTACTTTATATCATGTTTCCACTGCTTTGG